TTTAAAAAGCACTGTTAGCTAAGACATTTCAGGACATAGGCAAAATCCCTTTGGTTGTATTTTACTGTAGGATAACGCTATCAAAATGATGTCCTTGAATAACTGATTCCTCCATAGTTAATATGCATTGGTGAAGAAGGCTGATCAGTAACTAATATATTTTAGACAAATTCTTATCCAACTGGATAAAATAGTCTGGTGCTTAAAGGGGTGAGTTTAAGTAATCTGGAAATATCATTTAGAGAAAAGATATTTTTGCCAACCAGACAGACAAAGGAAGCTCTATGTTATTGTGCATTTTCCCCAAAGGAAGGCCAAACAATACAAAAAATTACGTTTTGAAGGATCTGATATCCCTGGAAGGAGAGGAAGTATTATCATCAAATATTATATAAATTCTTAGAGGAAAATAAAAGTTAAATCACTTGAAGTTCGCCTCATGACTCAGGGCAGAACCCAGTTAAGAATCAAGGGCTTCTGACTCCCAACCATGAACTTTATGCAAACAATTTATTAGCAAAATCAGATAGTGCATTTTGAACATAAGAAGAATTGATGTTGAGAGAAAGAAGATTCTAGATAGAGGGATAGGACTACTCCTTTTTTGTTCCCCCGTTACCCCCCTGCCCCACCCCACCCCAAATTGCTAGAGCAATATTCATGGGGTCTCTTCTTCCTTGAGCTGAGACGTAATGAGTCACATGAGTATACTTTGGGAACATCTGTAGACTCTGCTATATTCAGAGGTTGAAAGAACTATCGAATATCTTCTTATACCCACAGCTAATATAGCTGTGCCCCGCCCCTGGAGCCAGGCAGAGCCAAGCCTGAATCCTGGCAAGGCGCTTGTCCTGCAGTTCCCGTCTATAAAATGAAAGATGGGACTAGACTGTCCTAAAGAGCCCATCTCAGCTCTAAGGGCACATGAGTCTAAAGCTGCGTTTATTTTAAGTCATGGCAGCTAATATTTAACAGTCATCTAATTAACTGTTCTCTTAGTCTCTTTTTAAGTTCTTTATTTTGGATTTTATTGTCAAAACTTACGAAGAATTTCTATAATTCTAGGCACCAAATTTGCTTTAAGAAAAAAATATTTTAGTGCCAGATTTTGAAAAGAGCCAATTTTATAGTGTATTAAAATATAGGTCAGACAATATGTTTAAAATATGCAATAAGTCTCTTACAATGATTTTAAGACCAAAGTTTCCTATAATTAGCTACAAAAATATGGTAAAGGACTGAACCAAAATAAAACCAAATAAACCAGCTACTAAACTACACATATGTCCTTAAAATCTTATGGGAGTCAAATATTCCAGTAAAAATAACAGAAGAGATGGAAACACAAGTTTCTTATTATCACACTTCATATGTTATAAAACATAACAGCTAACTTATTTTTGGCAAAATGATTAGGGATTGCAACACTCTGGCTAACACAAACTGATTTGATTGTCAAATGCATCTGAAATGGAGCGTGTCATGCTAACTTCAGGCACGCAGGCGCTGTGCCGTCTTAGAGTAGCCTAGAGACACTTAAATTTCAACACTTCAGCAGGGATCTTACCACCGAAATTAACTGGGCCAGGTGTTTAAAGAGGGGTGGGGGGACTTCAACAATGTAGTTAATTGAAACCAGATAAAGCTTTTGAATAGTAAAAAAATCATACAGCTGTTCGCCCTCCTCCCCGGGTGACCTTTATGGACAATTTATTGCACACGTTATTTCCTAAAATATACCCTTTTCAAGAAAACACAGTTTCGCGTGTCTCTCTGAAACCTCTCTAATCACAGTATGAGTTATGCGTCCACAAACAGACCAGGGTAAGCTCACGTTTTATCTTCCTTTTCTCTTTCACCACTATTCCTATAAGCGCACGAGCACCCAAAAGTAGAGCCATAATTAGCAAGTTCTAAAGATGAAGAAGCCATAAGAAGCTATGTTAAATGTGAGAGGCATTGCACTTCTTTTCCAACAGACACTGTGAATGTAGCCAAAAAAGAGATGGGTTCGAAACAAGTGTGTGGAACAACGGTTTTCACAGATGCTTTAGAGAAATGATACATTGCATGCAGGATGAATGTGAAGCAAACAAACAAAAACCCCAACTATAGATCTGTGGTTAAGTGAATAGACCGAAGGACACAGAAACAAATATTTTCTTCCCTGTGTTTACACAATAGTGTAGTCATCAGGGTTCTCCAGAGAAACAGAAGAAATAAGAGATACATGGAGAGTTTATATATGGAGATTTATTGTAGGAACTGGCTCATGCAATTATGTAGGTCAAGAAGTCACACAACACGCCATCTGCAAGCTGAGAAGTAGGAAAGTCAGTGGTATAATTCAGTCCAAGGCCAAAGGCTTCAGGATTGGGGGGGCCACTGGGGTAAGTCCTGGAGTCTGAAAACTTGAGGACCCAGAGACCCAAAGTCCTAGGCCAGGAGAAGGTGGACGTCCCAGCTCAAGGAGGGAGGGAGAAAGGATTCACCCTTCCTTGGCGTTTTTGTTCTGTTGGGGCCCCCGAAGGACTGGATGATGCCAGAGGGCAATAGTGAGGACAGATCTTTTTTTTTCCCTCAGTATACTGATTCAGATGCTAATCTTTTCTGGAAACATCCTCACAGACACACTCAGAAGTCACGTTTTACCAGCTACTTGGGTGTTCCTTACCCCTGTCAAGCTGATACATAAAATAACCCATCACAAACATTAATGCAATTATTATTTCAAGTACGCAAGTACTCTTTTTAAAAAAATGTTTTTAAAGCTTTTAAGATACCTGGAACAACTAATAATCAAAAGTGTATCTCTTATCAGTTTGCCACATTTTATTTGCCAGGACCAAGTCACTTCCTACACCGGGGAATACACTGTGTGCACGCATTTGCATGCCTGACTGTGGACCACGCGAGTGAAACCCTAAGTGCAGCCGTGGTGGGATGGGAGGCTTCTGACGCGGCCCCCAGGGATGCTCAGCTTCGAACATTCATGCGCTAGGAGGGCCGTCCGACCTTGAGGCGTCTCTGGGCCACACTGGAAGAAGAAGAGTTGTCCTGGGCCACACATTAAATACACGAACACTAACAAAAACTGATGAGCATAAAGCGGGTTTTAAGTGGATTTACGATTTTGTGTTGGGCCGTGTTCATAGCCATCCTGGGCCGCGGGCAGGCCACCCTGCTAGTGTAAGCCACTGCTCCTCAGAGGGGGCTGGTTTGCTCCTGACAGAGCGACTACTCTGAAAGTAATGGGATTACCATTTCGGTAATCTAGGCACAGCTGTGACTTCCATCTTGCCAGCAGGCTCTTCCTCTGGCTCTCCTCCCACCTGTTCTCCTGAAGCAAGTCAGAAAGGCCCACAGGTGAGGGAAGGGAGGGTGGCCTCCAGTCCACCCAACTGCCGGGGATGAACCGAGACCCTCAGGGCAGCAACCTTCGAGGAGCCGAGTCCTGCCAACAGCTGTGCGAATGAGCGTGCAAGCAGATCCTTCTCAATCCAAATGTTCAGAAGAGACCTTTGATTAAAGTCTTATGAAAGACCCTGGAGCAGAGGACCCCGCTAAGTCGTGGCCCGATCCCAGACACACAGAAACTGGGAGAGAATACATGTGCACTGGTTTACGCTGTTGAGTTTCGGAGCAGTTTGTTACACAGCCGTGAACAATTGACACAGCAGTTAACCTAATGACCGAGGCAACGATTCTACTGTCAATTCCACAGTGACAGTCACTAACACCTATAGGAAACATTTAAGTTCTAGGCACCATTCCTAACTCTTTATACAATTCCTCAAAAAGGTCCTTTGAAGAACATGTTATTATCTCCATTTTACAGATGAAGAAATGAGGTGCAGAGGGAGCCAATAACTCACCCAAAGTCACATTGACAATATATGATAGCAAGTATTCGTATTTAGGTGTCGTGCCTCAGAGCCAGGGCTCACAGCAGCTGTGCAAACACAGAACCACTAAGTCACAGGGCTTGTAAAGACGGTAACCTCATAACATAGTGCTAGAGGAGCGTTAGAAGGCGCAGAAGAAATGAGAAGCCATGCAAAATGGAGGAGCCACTTCTCATCTTGCATTCAGATGGCCAGTTTAATGGCACATCTTCATGCCTCCACACGCCTTGTAGTTACTTAGGGCGTAGCTTTCACACCTGTGGCTCAGTCTGTCCCCTCCAATAAACCTTCCGACTCTTACCTCAAAGACTCTTTCTTATTCATTGGGATGTCCTCAAAACACAGCACAGGGCCCGTCATATAACAAATATTTAATATGTTTGTTCAATGAAGAAATAATTTATGTTGTGAACTGCATCCATTCAATGGGCTATTTCAATGGTGTATGATAGTGAAAGTATGAGGTTTTGTTTTATTTTGCAGTCTCCTGTAGTTCACTGCCTTTCCTGGGCACTTTATATACGATTTTGTGTCTCCAGTGTCTCTGGCACACAGTGGCAACTAATGAGTATTTTTGAAAGAAAGAAAGAATGAATGAATCAATGAGTGTCTCAGAAAGCCTCAGAGTGCCAAGCTATAGGACTGGTAAGACAGCCAGCTATTTGCCTATCAATGATGATGATAAATTTCCTTTCTTTTAAAAGGAGGCATGAACATTTGCAAAATATTCTCCCAATAAAGGCAGATTCTTGTCTGGGTCTTAGCTGTTTATTGACTGATCTTATATATTCTTTTATAAAAGACAAGAGGTTACCTATAACTTAAGAATTCCAGATAACTCTAGATTAAAAGACATTCAGTTGGAAAATTCCCACCTCCTTCAGCATTATTGTTTGAAACGTCATGGAAATTGGATGAACACACACTTACACAGGCCCACGGCCATGTGGAGAAACAGTATAAAGGCAGCCACCAAGTCTCCTTCCTCTGTTCTGCTTATCAGTTAAACAAGAGACACAAGAGCAAAAGACAGCTGAGGGGCATTTGTGCAAGAGCCTAACCAGGCACCGCAGCCAGCTCCTCAGGCATACTTACTGGGATCTCGGGGGCATGCTTCAAAATCTGAAGGCAAATGTAGCTGCCTATTGAATGGCCAATGAGCACCAGCTTGGTTTCTTTTGGCACATGAGTTCTCAGGAAAGCTATCTTGTGTTCTACTTGACCACGGAGTCCATAGATGTCCTGGATTTCTTGAGCATTTGGATCTAAAACCAAAAATATGTGCACGCTTTTATTCAATAAGTAAAAGTAGTAAATTCACTGGGAAAAATATTTTTAAAAATAACAGTAATAATAATAGTAGTTACCATTTGTTTAAAGCCTATCGTGTACTAGCTACAGTTTTAGGCACTATTTACAATAAATTATATCAACCAATCCTTACGGTAACCCTAGAAGGGAACTATTAGAACCTTCATTTTATGGAAGCTCAGAGACAGTAGGTGATGGAATGACAGTCAAATACTTGCTAAGTAAAGGCGGCGGGGGGGGGGGGGGGGGGTGGTGGGACTGAAACCCAGGTCTCTCTGTCCTCATGGCCCACAAATTGTCAAATATTCCATGAACTACTACTCTAAGCTTGTGCCATTGGTCCTCAATCTTGAACATGCATCAGAACCCTCTGGCGGGGTTTCTTACAACCTGATTGCTGGGCCCCACCGCCAGAGTCCCTGGTTCGGTGGGTCTGGGTGGGAGCCCGAGAATCTGCATTCTAGGTTTTCAGGAGATGCTGATGTTGCTGGTCCTAAGGCCACACACTGAGAACCACTCATTAGGCTAATTTATATGATTAACAAACATCTACAAAATCCATGACATTGCTTCACTATTTTAGATAATCTTTGTTTGAAGAACTCAAACCGAAAGCTTAAGTAGAAATGTTGTGAGTTCTTTCTTTTAACCAGTACAGTCCTGACCTGAAATATCCCTCTTCCTTTCCCAAACGAACTTGCATATTCTTCAAGGCTAATGACAACTTCACCTAGCTAATCTCGGAGAGAAATAAACGTGCCTTCCTTTGTGTTGAACCAGCGCTCCACTCTCACTACGGCCCTTGGTTACCCGTGCAACCATCTGCTTACTTCCTCTCTTAGGCTGTCAGCTCTGGGAAGGTAAGTCCATCTTTTCATCCTTTCCTCCGTGACTAGCACATGGTACATACTGTGACTGAGTGAAAACATGAACTGACTAGATGAGCTCTGAGGATGCCGCCAGCTCTGATATTCCACAAATACAGAAAACATCAGAGGTTTTCCCTTTGAACATACAGAAGACCCCAATGACAGGGTGTAATATTTCAAAATATCACAAGGGAGTCAACTGACTCCTAAAATTCGAATCATTGGAATATGGAATTTCTTGCCTCCATGACTCCTGCAAGGTCCTGATGGCCAGGATGATGAGCTACAAAGTGGCTTGTTCCAAAGGCGCCTCAAACGCATTTCCTAATGAGCACTGACCTTCAGTGTCTTCTGTACCTGCTGTTTCCACTTCCTTCAGTTCCTGGCCCTCCTTGTTTGCCTCGATAACTCCTCTTCATCCTTCTTATTCTCAACAAGCATTGTCATTTCCCCTGGAAAGCCTTCCCTTCAGCTCCGCAACATCCCCTGTTTATCAGGCTACATTACTCCGACTTACTCCTCCTGTACAATTCAGTCTTGCTCATCTCTGTTCCCCAATGCCTGACATACAAGCTACTAGAGGGTCTTTTCCTATTGAATCGATGAAGATCAGCTCCTTCTTTCTGTGGTACTACTGATCTCCCAGGTAAGACACATTCGGCCCTAATCTTTCTTCCCACGTCAGCCTAGAATTCACTCTCCATTTCACAAGGAAGTTCAACGTAAAACAAAATTGAGAAGAGATATAAATAGAATCTGGAAATCTGACTTAGGTTAGGACTCCTGATGACGCCAAATCCAAATGCTTATTTAATACTCAAATTTTTGAGTTTGATTAATTTATGCTCCCCCACTCTCAGTGCACTGTCTCTGGTCACTCCTCCCACAAGTGATCATAATGTTTTCTGATACCCCAAACCCAACACCTATAGTATTTGCAACTCAAGTTCTTTATTATTATTTTTCACAATGCACAATGTTTAAAAATGGCAGTCTTCCTTTCACTGGGACGTATGTATAGTACAAATATCATAAGCATTGGAGAGGGATAAATCGGGGTCTCTTTCCCAGCTGAGCACCTTACTGTGTGATGTGGGCAAATCTTTCAACCTGGCTTCAGTTTCCTCATATATATATATATAACAGAGATAATTATTCTAGCTTCCTAGGAACGTTGTTTGCATGACTTTAAAAGCACACAGTACAAAGTGGTATAAACTGTTGAGAAATGAAAGTTATCATTTCAATTCCTGTCATTTAAACCCTCCCTCAAATATATACCAAGAACCTTAATGTGGTTAGGCCAACAACGACAACAACAACAAAAGAAAAAAGAAAAAAAAGAGAGCGTGCTAAATGCAATAAACATTTTAAACTTCACTGAAACCAGAAATAAGGTCCTGAAATATTCTATTTCAGATGAAATTTAATGAACATTATAATATGAATGATTACTCAAGTGAATATTTCAGAGATAAATCTGGCTTTACCCCTGGAAATTGCTCAGAGTTCCAAGATAAACATGTGCCTTGTTAGTGTTTACTGAAGTAATGAGATTAATTGGGAAAGTACTTTCTATAAATAATCAATGACAGAAAATGTAAATGTGCTCTCTGGACATTATTTTACTAGCAAAAACTACAGGCTAAAAGACTATATATTTGACTATATATTTCAATGCCTATTATTATTTTAATATACTCTGAAAAACTTAGGAATCATCAACTTACTCTCTGTAGTATGTGATAAGAAATGACAATCAATTGTATCAAAATTAGAAGAGTGATAATATGGAAATGGTTTATATCATTCTTTCTGTAGAGAAAATGCACTCCAAGTTACAATCAACTAGGTACACGTCAAACTTAACCTATTTCTAAGTAGAGAACTGCTTGAATTGGTAGATGTTAACCCAATTCACCATGTCTTTATCAACATGTGGTCCTGAAGTTAATCCTGACAATTCCCTTTTAGAACCTGACCCAGTTTCTTGGACCCATCTCTATGAAATTCACTTACTGATTTTGGAGTGTATTTCAAAAAGTACATCTAAATCTGTTCCTAAGTAGTTCACAGAGAAATTAAGTAACATCAGTACATCAGTATTTCACATTTACTTTTCACGTGGTTGTTCAAATTGGTTGATCCAGTTACTAAAATTTTGGCATAGGAATATTATGCATCCCTTACAGCTTCAGGACACAGGTGAATCTGGTAACTATTATTTTCCTCCATTTCACATGAACTAGATTGACTAGTCTGATAGGAAACAGTGACTAATTGGTCAATGGTAATATTGAAAGTATAGGTACAAATACAATAGACTCTCCTTGTCTTCAAGGAGTTCACAGTCTAGTAAGAGTACACAGAAAAAAATAAAAACACAATTATAATACACCGAAATAAGAAAATCTCAAGCATTTCCTTGAGAAAAGAACAGCATTTTGGGGGTCATAAAAAGCACTGTGCCTTTCTTCAAGTTTCCCAAGATAAATACATGCACATCACTATAAATGTGCAACAGTCTAGGACGGGACTGGCTGAGAAGCTGGAAGCCTCTGGAGTGTGTGGAATTATGGGCTAGAAGATTTAAAACAAAAGGAGGGCAGAGACAGGCTCTCAGGCTCTTCTTCCTCGAGGATGCTTGGGTGCCTGGGTGCCTGGGTGAGGGCACTGTGGCTGCCTGTGTTTCCCAGTGGATGGTGTTTTGGACGGGAAGGAACTCTGGGTGCAGCCTAGGGCTGGGCTGGCCTGGCAGAGGGTGGCCGGGTTATTCTTTGGGTGTTCTAGAGGCAACGGGCTCCCAGCCAGAAGCCTGTCATTCTTCCAAAATTGTGCAGCTTTTGTATCTTATGTTGTTTTAGTTTGTAAACTAATCCTATAGAAATAAGATAATTAAAAACAGAGGGAATGATACGGGAACCAAGAGTTAAAGACTTTAGCCTTGATGGGCTTAAGTGACCAATGCATGGGGAAAGCTGTCATTCCAAAGTTGTGTTGCTTCTGAATAAAGACTCCTTTCCTTTGTCACCAAACCTCTACCTCCGGAGTTTTGCCCGGAGGGTGGCGGCGGACAGCGGGACCCCACTGGCTATTCAGTAACAACTTTACGTATTTGAATGCTATAATAATGGTCTAAATTAATATATGCTTAACTATACACATGTGTATGTCTAGCTACACATTGAATATAAATGTGTAAGTGCTGCTATATATTGTCACACAAGCAATATTTACGAGTCACCGTGACCACAGAACTAGCTCTCCACCAGCCTTTTGCTGGACTGAGTCTGCAGACAGTAACTCTCTGAATCTCACACGAGAATGTTCTCAGCTAGTAAACCCTTCCGTCCTGCCCCTATCATTCCTCCATAGCTGTAAACGATAACTTAAATTCGTAGCACTTTGTATTTTAAAGAATGCTTTGGGCAAGATGAAGAAGATACAGTTTACTCTTTAGGTAAAGTTTTAGAAATGCACAAAATAATATCACATTGTCCATCACTACATAGATGTCAATAAAAGTATAAAAAGAGACATGAAATTTAGTCTAAATTTGTTATAGTAGAACTGGAGATAGGATACAAAAAAGATGGAACTTTTTCTGTGATGCTTTATTTCATTTATTTATTTAACAAAAACATGTAATGATGGCAAAGAATTAACTATCAAAAGAGTAGTGAATAACAGAACCTTGGGCTGTTATATAATTGTTTGGACTTCCCTATAACTGAAAAAATTTTCTCGAAATAAAAGAAAACTTTAAAATTCAGAGTGCTTGGATGTGCTGTTCCCAGCTACGCTATGTTGATTTCATAGTGGGGACCACTGTTTGTTTCCTCATCACTCCCGATGGAACAGCGAAGCTCCACAAGACTGGGACTTCACGCTGACACCAGAGCAGCAGAGCACAGGGGTGCCCCCAGCTCTCTACGCTCACTGAATTCACCAGTCCACAGGCCCGCCTTCTCCACTGTCCCCGAGTTACTGAGCAGACGTGCAAGTGCACTCTGGCAGTGCAGGCCTTGGCTGTCCCCGGCTTCCCAAGTCTTCCGTACGTTCCCTGTATCTGAATGTTGGTGCCGCTCTGTTAGCCTTCAAGGTATGCCGCACAGTGCGGGGGTGGTAGGGAGGCACTCTCTTTAAAACTGCTACCTTACTTAAGAAAACAACAAAAAACGTTGTAAATGCTTAACATGTCTTATAGAATATTTTTAAATTATTATTCTCCAATAATGAGAACCAGGGTAATCAAATTACGCTTTCCACTCAGCTAAAACCGATGATCTGGCTAAGAATTTCAATGGGGAAAACACGGTGGTGGGGAGGAGGGAGGAAGAGAGATTGATGGCTTCAGCAAGGAGAACATAATATCATAGCCTTAGCAAATAATAAAAGCAAAAGGCGTGAAAGTGTGAGCCATATCTGGAGACACATCCATGATGTCCATGGCTGTCTGTGGATTTAGGGGGCGGTGGAACCAGTGGGGTTAGAAAGGAAGGCAGAGACTAGATCGCGGAGGATACCGAACACCACCAAGGAGCCCGGACCTCACGGGATGTGCAGCAGGAAGACACAGAAGGGTCATGAAGGGAGGGGCGGCGGTTGGCCTGTGTCACCGAACTTGATGGGCAATGCTACTCGCCCCAGCGCTCCTGAGCTTCCTCCCGTCTTCCCTGAGACTAAAAATTGGCTTGATTTTAATTTCTTTCCTTGCTCTGCCCTTTATTTTTCTGACTCTTCCCACCTACCTAGAGAACTCCTCGTCTATTTCTAGTGACTGGGAGCCCCGAGACTTGACTGTCTGACTGCACCTGCCTTGGGCCATCTAGTTATTCCATTTTGCCTCCTTGTTCGCTGCCAATCACAGTCCTGGCAAGAGGGAAAGCTCTACTGAGCTTTCTCTTTCTCTTTCAGTTTTGGGTACTGGGATCGGGGTGGTTTTGTGTTTCCTTGGATAAACATGACCCAAATTCATCATTAGTTGAAAGACGGTGTAACTTTGTTAGATAATGTTTTATCAGCTGAAACTAAACCACTATGATTTCCAGCTTTTATGTTATACTTTTTGAACAAATAACTTGAAATAGTTGATAATGAATCTGCCATCAAGGAAGCTGACTCTACAGTAAATCAAAGCCAGAGAGAGTTTATACTTCTAATTCCTCAAATTTTCTTTTCACACTTTTTTTTTGGAATCACCCCTTTCTGACATCGGTGAACATCTGTTCTCCCAATTATACTCAATTTATGACTGATAATGTGGTGCAACGAGAATATTATTTCCAACTGTTCAAAATTTTAACATGTGCTAATATGAAGCAAAACATACTTTTAACACTTGACGTCTGGTTATAGCTTATGTCCTTTCTCTCAACGATTACATATCCTTCACACTATATTTTGCACGTCAGGAAACCTGTGCTTTAGAATAATAATCTTGGATGACGAATAATATATCTGTCCTGCCTATCTAAAGCAATCTACTATAGCGTGCGTCTGCAAACACAACCTCCAATATGTAAAGCAGATGAAAGGAGAGCTGTTCAGGGTGACAGGGGGGGCTCGTGGCGCCCAGAGCCCCGCCTGCCCTTCGCAGGACTTGAGCCACTCGGAACACAGACGGAGAGGCAATGACCTGAAAGGCAGCACTTCTGTTTCTTTGTGGACCTCTGCAGCTCTCCGCATACCAACCTAGTAGGTTGTCAATAAACCCGTGGAGAACCGAAGAGCTGCCCTTTCACCCCCTGGGGAAGCCACGGCCTCCTTCGCCCTGCGCTGGCCCTGTGGACTAATGCCTCTAGGTGGCACTGTTCTCATGAGGTAGCAAAGGACCCAGGCTCTAATTACTAAGTTATTAACTCGAGCAGCCGAAGCAATAGGCATACTCAAAGTAAAGTTATAAATAAAAAGATGTCAATTTAAAACAGGAATTAAAGATATTTCCCAGAAATTCAGGCACAACAGGAACCTTCCACTGGTTTTCCTCACCAGCGTTTACTGGGGAAGACCTAGGGCAGCGTTTCTGAAAATGTGGGCCCAGGCCCAGCAGCATCCGCAGTACCTGGGAACATGCTAGAAATGCAAGTTCTCAGGTCCTGCCTCACATCAACAGAATCCAGGCCTCAGCGGCAGCATCCAGTGATGTGCGGCTCAATAAATCGCCACCAGGGCCCCCGGCACCGTGCCCCCGCCCCCTGCAACCGGAACCCCTGGCCTAGAGGCGCCCTTCAGGACTCCATTTTCAGCTTTCAGAGTTGCTATTCACATTCTGCTCAAACGTTTGCTTTAATGAACTTAAAACTTCCTTTGGTCATGTATGAAAAAGGAACTTAAAACAATAATTGTATCTTAAAATACTTGCTATACATATTCCTCATGTTCAGTCACCTTTCAATGTGATGGTTGTTGACATAGATGTTTTTAATCAAGGCAATAACTGAAATTCAGTTTTATGTCACTACTGCTCTTAAAATCATTCACTGTTAGGTAATCAATATTTACTTATTTTTCAAATATACCCTGGTCTTTAGGCAAAGTATAAAAGTCTATTAAGTAAGTTGTGTTCATACAGGGACACAGACACATGCGTCAACAGAGAGGAAAAGGTGTTATGAAAGAGGCACTTATGTGAGCACTCGCAATGAGTTGCACTGTTTCACCTACACTCCATTTATCCTGTCCCCCTTACGAGTCACAGCAGGAAAAGGGTCCCAGACTAGGGTATAACCTGTGGCCATGGAAGGTCTAACCTACGAATGAGCTCACAGGGCACCTAACCCTGAGAACCTGGTCTCGTTAGTGCTCTGTGCCAGCCAACTGTGGTGGCCCACCCACAGCGCCAGGGCGCTCACTGGATGGAATGGTGAACGTACGCTCCTGTCGAGGCCCAGCCACGCTCACCAGCAGAGACCACTCAGCCCTGTGGGGCCTTATTGTCCTTCCTTGAGAAATAAGGGTTCAAGGTGGGGTTTGATATAGACACTTTTAGGTCTAAGCTCTACAATTCTTTTATTCTTTAAAACTTTTTTTCAGCAGTGGGAACTTTTCAAAATACAAAAAAATACAAAGAATAGCATAATAAATCCCTGTGTACCCATTGTCCACTTGCTACAATTATATTTTCTTTTTTTTTCCAGCTGACAAATAAAAATTGCATATATTTAGGTTGAACACATGATTGTTTTTAAAGGTGTACCATGTAATGATTTAATAAATACACATTGTGAAATGATTACCACCGCCAAGTGGACGAATATATCCATCACTTCACAGAGAGTAGTGTAAGTGCCTGACGCGAAGCTTTGGACTAAGGAGGCACCCATTTCCAAGGACATCCAGTTTGAAGATGCATACAGCCTGCTCTATGTCACAGCTCCTAGCAAATGGCCTGACAGAGAACTAGGCCACCCCCACCCATGAAGGTCCATACTCTACAGAGTCTTCTGGAATCCATACATGTTCCCTTCTTTGTTTACTCCTGAGTACCTACATGATCGGCAGGGCTGTTTATCACTTAATCAGTCTCTAAAAGTGAGAGTGAGCACTTCCTTAGAGTAAGAGTCGTGGCTAAGGACCATGGTTTATCATAATTTTTCTCCACCATTCCTTTTAGTACAGCCCTGAAAATGTAGTGCACAATCAATAAATATACAATTGATTCCTAGTTGGTAAATGGAGAAGGGAAATCCTAGACAAATTGTTTAATCTGCCCAAAATTTTAGAGAAAATTACTTGAAGAATGAAAATGACTCTAAAAATCCTAAAATTACCAACATGTGGCATCATGGGCCCAATGCCACAAGCAGAGGTTTCCATGGTGTAGTGTAACTTTTAACCTTAGCGGGCTTTCTAGAAAGATGAACACTTGTTTGCTGTAAAGGAAAGCAGATGTTTATGAAGACATACCATCCAGGGTTGTAAGAATCTTCTTGTCTTTGGGGGCCAGAACTTGCCCAGCAAAACTGGTGACCCAAACTGGAAAGCGTTTGTTTATTAAAGAGTATAAAGCCTTTGCAAACGGCACATAAAAGGCAGGAATACCTGGGTTTCCTAGGAAAAGAAGCACAGACTTTAGATTAGCCAAAGCAATAAACTCATATAAGATGATGTGCAGACAGGAAAAGGATTTATTTCTCCCCAACAAATCTAGTAACATTTATACGTACACCTCAAATTTAATATCCTTTATATCCTAAGTCTGGGAATGATCGCTTAGAAAATTTCTGCTCCTGCTTTGTTCTCCAACTGTTTCAAATAAATTCTTCCTCCCAGTTCCTCAACTTAATAAATGGAACCACCAATCATACACCAAATACTCAAGTCCTAACACCAGGAGTTATTCTTGGTTTCTCTTTATTTTTCACATCCAGTTCACCAGTAAGTCCTGTCAACTATGCGTCCAAAATACATTTCAACTTTGTCCACTTTTCTTCAATCATATTATCACTTCCCACTGGGTTTCCTGAACAGCCTTCTAAATAAGTCTTCATCTTGTCCCCGTGAAATCCATTCTTCAGAGTACCCAGCGAGGTATCTTCAAACCTCAAATCAAACCAGAGCGTACTCTACTTGACCGCCTTCCAGTGGCTTCCCATGGTCCTCCAGGTGGTCTACAGTCACTAACACTACTCGGAAGTCCCCTCAGGACTGGACTAGACTCAGTTGCCAAGCTGGATGAGAACAAATGAGTGTAAGAACCATTCACAAAGAGAATTTTAAGGAGGCTACTGTTTCCTTGTCATTTATCACAAGTATTTATATTGTAAACAGATGTATAGTTTGATCTTTTGGGGAAAGGACCAGCAGGTAATACAGTGGATTTTCCTGTGCGTGTACAGAGGTATTTTTGGCACGGGCTTGCTCTAGAGAAACAATGGATAATCTTTTTATTTATTTTTATTATTTTTTCAATTCTGGCCTGAAGATATTTGTATTGATTTTTAGAGATAGGAACTCTGATGTGAGAGAGAAAAACTAATTGGCTGCCTCACATGAACCCTGCCCAGGGACCGGGCACAGAACCGAGGTACGTGTCCTCAGCACGGACTGCACCTGCAATCTTTTGGGGCATGGGATGGCGCTCCAGCCAGCTGAGTCACTGGCCAGGACTATAAAGGATCTTTTGAAAAGAGTCAATCTGATATATCTTTAGGGGGAAAAGACCGTGAAACGGGGTTTTCATCTCATGATCATCATCTGTATGTCTTCATAGATACTAGTTCATGTCCATCAGTATCTATTTATCTGTTCTTTATCCTATTAGGTTTTCTCTTCTTTGCACTTATAGGACATGGTTTTGCTGCACTGATATCTTCTTCGCTGTTCATATGTTTTAGTTTCTTAGATACATAATGTAGCAAAGTAGATTAGGGCATAGGCTCTGGAGCCAGACTACCTGGGTTGGAATCTGGCTTTGCCATTTAACGTCTGACCTTTGGCAAGTTATTTAACCTCTCTGAGCCTTGGTTTCCTTGTCCATAAAACGGGGATAATAACCATACTACCTCATGGGAGAACTAAGCAAATGAATATGTTAAAGTACCTAAACACTATTTGATACACAAGCACTATATAAATGTGAGCTATTCATCCTTGTAATCACTGTCTAGCCATGGTGGTGATACATGATAGCCTTACCATCCATGTAGTTACTTCGTTTCTGTTCACTTCCAACCTAATGACCCTAGTTCCAAATACATTTTTGGGATGGTGCCGGTGTCATTTTTGTTCAACAGGGTGAAACTTCCTCAGGTGCCATCATATGCCCTTTGCTCGGCTGACAGGCTGCAGTGCAGGGAGAGCAGGAAGAGGGAGGAGGGTGGGTCAGGACGGAGGCTGTTCTGCCTATGGTGGGCGGGGATGACACTTTCATGTTTTCTATTTAAATCTTTAGTGACAGTGGAATTGTTACACAGTTTTGGGTGTAAATTACAAAGTAGCAATCCAACTTCTTTTTAAGTGATTAGCCAAGTGTCCCAAATCCATTTATTATCTAATCCATTCTTCCTCCATTGATCTGGAATGTCTTCTGCTCCAATACTGAAATCTTACATTAGCTTGCTAATTCTGATTCCAAATAATTCCAGTTATTTTTTCCCTTTTCTCCTTGGCCAGCATCATACTGTCTCAATTCCTACACTGTTTGTTTTTAACTGGTAGGGCAAATCCCTTCTCTTTATTATTATTATTTTTTAATAGTCTAGGCTGGTCTCATACCCTTTGGAATTATTTTCACCAGTGTCAATTTTTAAAAATCTCTTTGGAATTCAGATTGAAATTTCATCTCATTTTAATTACTTTAGAAAGACCTGTTTTTTTTTTTGTTTTTTTTTTTTTACCTTATTGAGTATAACCTCAGAATGTGTTATGCCTCATATTCAAATGTTTTATGTTTCTCAGCAAAGTTCTATAGTTTTCCTCATGTGGCTGGAAAATAAAGAGCGCCAACATTTTGAAGTGCTGTAACTTACTACAGGACAGGCAGTAGGTCCGTGTTTTATATATATATTCACTCATTGTCTTCACATGAGGCAGCACTATTATTAGTTCCATTTTATGGATGAAGAAACTGAAGTTTAGAGAGGTTAAGTAGTTCGCCCAAGGTAATACAGGTGATGTGTGCTCAATAAATATTCGATTTCTAAAAGAATGTATTCAAGAAAATACTAATACTGCCTTTAGAAAGAACGCAAATCACCTGGTCCAGGACCTTCTGCACACCCCGTTTCAGTGCGTCTTACAGCAGCTCCACAAGGTCGCTGGCCGAGTCATCAGGGATAATAAACGGACAGCCGCCCGCACAATGCGGGGCACCGCGTAGGTGCTGAATAGATGGCAGCTATTATTACTATAATTATTATATTGCTAAAATGTTTTATGGAATAACTTTGACATGTCATATTCTGTAAGTTTAAGGTGTACAACATGTTGGAAGTGGTCGAACATTAAAGGGACTCCAAAGGTACCAACCACACAATTAGGTGCGATAGTCACAATGACAGGACCTATGAAACCGATGAGTACAAGATAATGGAGCTACTATATAACATTTTTTTCCTCCTTATATCTAGGTAAAAAAGAAAGAAAATGTTACCCTTTGCAACAGTATGGATGGGCCAGGAGAACATTATGCTAAGTGAAATAAGCCAGTCAGAGAAAGACAAATACCATATGATTTCACTGATACGTGGAATTTAATGAGCTGAACTAACAAGGAAAATGGAGACAGACTCATAGATGCAGACCAGATGGCAGCTAAGGGTAGGGGGAGGTTAGACGGGAGAGGGATTCGGCAAAACGGAAAAGGGCCCAACAGTGTGGTGATTGCTGGGGGGAGGGGAGTATGAGTGGACTAAATGGTAATGGAAAAAAAAATAAGATAAAGATTAATTTTTTTAAAAAGTCTGAGTTCTTTCCCTTAACAACTATAAGATCTTAAGTAAATCCTTTAAACTTTCCAATTCACTACTTTATCATCATCAAGCAAATGATAATGCCAACTACTCCATGTTCACTTGTTCTAGTCAGTACTATAGCTTCTTGTGCATATTCTTTTAGTTAGCAATTATTTATTGACCTCTTACTATGTGGGCGTCACTGTTAAGTACAAGATAGAGAAGGGCCCCTTTGTAATTTACATCCTAGTGGGAGAATATATACACATAACTAAATAAGTAAATAAGATAATTCAAGAGTGTAATAACGCCTATGAAGAAAATAGGATCATGTAATAGAGAAGGGAAGAGACTAGGGTACCCTGAGAAGAATGTTTGAGAAGGTGGCATTTAGCTGAGACCCAAAAGAGGAGAAGTCAACCCTGTAAGGATTTGAGAGAAAAGCACAGTGGGATGAGAGAAGAACAGGTGCGAAGGTCCTTAACCAATAAAGAGCTTGGCTCTTGAAGAAACAGAGTCCACGTGGCCAGCAACATGAAGATCCAACTTATAACAGAAGTGGATGATGTAATGCGAAATGTTTAAATGGCACTGCATACTTCATCACTTAAGTGTTATGGCTTATGTTACACTTTATGAACCATGAACAAAACTTCCTGGCTAGGAAGCCACACAGAAAATTAAAAGGGTCTTGTTTATACAACCAAGGCCATATATATTATGTATCTATATAAAAAACTCTAGGAATGTTTGAAAACATTCCAAGATAGTAATGCAAGTAAATTATTTTATCAAAGGCTATCAGAATGTATTATAAACACATGCTTGAACACACACACAGTCAAATGCCTGGGCAATGTGTAACAGGCTGTGGCGATCATCTCTAGATCTTGATGGCCAATAAGCTCATAACTGTTCAGCCACACAGTTGTACACTTCATGCCTTCCCATTAACCTTGCAGGGGACAAAACCCTCCACCTATAAAGATAATGTGGCGTAGCATCCATATGGAAGGTTGTCAAGTGGATGTAATTTTGGGCTTGTCCTTGGAGCCTTCTGCTCCATCTCCAATCAGTGTACTCGCAATACAAGCCACGTCACAGGTTCTATTATCCCCATATGGCTACCTGAAAATTTTAATGATCCAACATGTTCTACAGTGAGTTCTCAAATCGCCTGCCTTTGCTCATTTCACTAAAGAAAGTCCAAGGATATTGCTACTTAACAGGAGTTCTACAACAAAGGTTCACTGGAAAAGATGAAGCTAAATTAAAAGTTCTTCAATCTGTGGATTCCAATAAATCACTCCTCACTACTGTTACTAATTTAAAAGGAATGAATTAATTTTGCTAGCTGCAAAAGCCAAGGGATTTAAAATGAAATGTTATGTTAGTTGACCAGAGACGGATTAAACATGATGTTTAAAGCGGTTTAACGATCCACGAAATACTGTCATCCTGACTTTCCCCACAGTATATAATATACTAGGCCACAAAATTAAAAAAAAAAACAACACAACACAACACAACAAAACCCACCACCACCAATTCTGAATCCCACAAACTAATGGGCAGTACCAGTCTGCAGCTCCCATGAACACGAGAAAGGCCAAGGGCAGTGACGAGAACGGAAGGGCAAACGTAAAAGACCACCAGGACACTACATGCGACCTGAAAATGCCAAAGCACTATCAAATCAGGAGACTGTAAAACAAAAGTGTTGTAAGCTTCCCTTTCTCTGTACCCTAAACCCGGCCCCCTCCGTGAGGGACCCTCTTCCTTCCCGGCCCCTGCAGTGGAGACCTCACTGCCCCCTAACACCTCACATACCTCAATGAGAGCAAAGACTTTTGCAACACCGCGTTCCCAGCACCTAGTAAAAATGAGTGAGGGAGGACTGCGTCTGGGTGGGAAGCCGAGTGGGCCGTCTGCTCCTCTTGCTCATTCATCTCGTTAACAACTCCTCCCCCTCTAAGGCTGAAGCCATCTACTGCCATCTATCAACTTTTTAGTCATCTTCATGTATTCCCTGAAAACCTTGACTCCTACATGACAGTTTCACTTGCCATTCCATGACTAAGGTGATTTCAAAATCTGGGTGGACTGACCGAGCCCACATCTCTGTCCCACAATTCAAATAATTCCGCAAGCTGCACCCTTGGTCGGTGGTGCGCACACCAGTCCTGTTAGGTTGGTTAAACACAGGTAGCCCCACCCCCAGAGTTTTTGGTTCAGAAGAACTGGCATTTCCGGCAAGTTTGCAGATGATACTGCTGGTCCTGCCACCAAGTTTAAGAACCACAGGCCTGGATCTTTTCATTACCCAGAAATGGTAACATTCAAAGCATCCTAACTCAGAGAGCTCTTCAGCTTACCCTTCTTCCCTTTTAGACTTCACTCCCATACGCCTGCTATTCGATCACAGTGCTGCTCGAAATCTATCTACTTGTTTTTGGCTGATAATTCCTTTCATCCTGCACTTTCCTCAAAGGCCCATGCCAGCCTCTGCCATCCCTAATATCAACAGATCACCTCAACTCTTAATTAATAGGGAACAGTGGGCAGGAGGCAGGAACCACGTGGGAGGCTCCCTCCCCCCTGCTCCATTTCAGCAACAACTTCACCTGCTTCATTGTAGCCTCAGGAGGAGATCCCGTCTGCAGTCCAGCGTAACATTTCTCCTTAATCTCTCAATCCTACATCTGGCCTCCAAATCTCTGCTCCAGCAAATAGCACTTGTCATGCCTGTACTTTTAAATTCTCCCTCACTATTGGCAGAGCCTAAGTGTTTTTAATTTCAATGGATACCAACAGACTGCTCTCCAAAAAGATTGTTACATTGCGGCAGAAGACTGGAAGTTCATTTCCAAAAGAAGTTAAACTGAGGAGAGATGTGGGATCCTGGGACCGGGACTCAGCCCAGCCGAGAACCCAAGCGTTGGACAGTGAAGACATCAATCAGATGGAGTGTTACTGCACACCGAGACTCTCAACTCCGTTCCCTGTTCGGCACGAACATTAGCCCACAGACGTCCCCTGCTCCTCAACCAGGAAGCCGGAGGATTTCTTCCTGGGAAAACAATCCAAGAAGCAGCTACCGATACTGAAAGCTGGAAATTCTCCAATGAAATGCTGGCTCCCTACCCAGTCACCCCAGGCTGGGGATTTCCTAGGGTGACCAACCATCCCGTTTTGCCCAGGACTGTTGTGGTTTTAGAACCAAAGTCACACATCCTGCCTGGGAAGGTCCTCGGCCCAGGATGCCAAGTCACCCTAGGCGCACCTGCCAACAAGCCCCATTTTTAAACACAGAGCTCCTTTTCATTTTTTTGTATCTTGTCCTTTTGTCTTCCCCAAAACAATAAAAATGGGCTTCAAATTTTAAGGGAACATTATCTGCAACCTAGAAGTTAAGACACTTTCTGATATGCTAGATCTTTAAATGATTACTTCCCGTGCACCTCTTCTTAGGGAGCTACTGGGAGATGTGCCCCACTCAAAATAAGGGAATAACCAAGACAGAAAATGTAGGATCCTGGCAACAGGGGATCCAACCCAGAGAAAAGTGGGAGAAGTCCCCCGAGGCTGGGGTGGCAGCCTGGGAAAGCCACCAGTCCCGACGGGGGCTGAAGAACTGAGAGTTCTAGGAGACGGCACGCCAGGAAAAAAAACAAAAGCTGACAGATTACTCAAGGGCATTGAGAGGATTTTTTTACTTCTAGAGAATAATTTTAGGATAAATTAGTGATTAAAACACAGACAACTAAGCAAATGAAAGAGACAATTATTAACCCAGAGAAAACAAACAAAAATGTACAAAAAAAGAATGTAATCATAATAGTCTACAGACTTAGCTATATAGTATGATTGATACAATATAATGTAATACAACATAATATGCTATAATACATATTTACAGTATCACTTTTAATCTTTAAGGCTGATACATATATTCAGTTTACTTACAATTCAGAAAGTACTTTGAATACCTACAATCAAGCATCTACCCCTAACATTCTATTGATAATGATCCAGCAAAAGTCACAAACGAACCAGCTACCAAATCCCAGCAGTAAACATTCTACTTACAATCATCTTGAAATGAGACAAAGAAGTTATTTAGGAAACTTTTAAAAATACTTGAAAAAGTTTGAATTATTCTAAAAGTTGTAAAATTTTTTAAAAAGATTACAAAATTATACAAATGATATACTTACAATTGATATATATGTATTCATACACATACATACTAAATAACATAATATATATAGAAATGCATAGAAGAAAAAAAGCCCAGCCACCCAACTGCTAAGGGTGGTTGTTATCAATGGTGTGAGTGATTTTATTTCCTTCCATAAGGCTTTTCATATTTACCAAATTCTCTTTGAAGTCAGAAGTAGTTATAAGTACCTGTATAATCTCCTCATCCAGACTTCTAAACTCACCGGTAATAATGAAAATAAGCAGCTTAGGCCTTTTGGCACTGGGATCATTAACGAGGTTGGTCCAGGGCCCACATTTTAGAACCTGGGTTTCAACTCCCCCACATAAAATGAATTCCTCGTTCACTGGAATTTCTTCCTTGGTTTCTGAGTCCATTTCTAAATAAAGGAAGAAAAACAACATCAAGAGTCACTATAATGTAAAACCTTGAGCCAAAGACAATATTCAAGAATAAAAATGGCAAATTTCACCATAGTTAGGAATATCTCCACAAGGAGATATGGGAGATAGGTGACTATTCAGCTATTACGCATTATAGGATTGCAAAACAACAGCAACACCACCACCACTTAAACAACAAGACTAGGAAGAAACAGGGAGGCAAATCCTTGGTGTAAAAGACTGCAGAGGAGTCTGGATCCACATAGGAGTGAGATCATATGGTATTAGTCTTCCTCGTACTGTCTTGTTTCCCTTAGCATAGTGTTCTCCAGGTCCATCCATGCTGTCACAGAGGGCAGGAGTTCCTTCTTTTTTATGGCCGAACAGCATTCCTTTGTATAAATGTACCACAGCTTCTTTATCCACTCATCTACTGATGGACTTAGGCTGCTTCCAAATCTTGGCTATGAATTAAATAGTGCTGCCATGAACATATGGGTGCACATATTCTTTCAGATTAGTGTTTTGGGCCTCTTCACATAAATTACCAGCATGTCATTGCTGGGTCAGAAGACAGGTCCATTTTTTAAAAATTAGCTTAGGCTTCTCCCAGTCCTGTGGGAAACTGATGCCCGCCTCCAGGACCATCGGGTTCGCCCTCGGCTCGCGCCTGCCTCTGCACCTGCAGCCTCTTCCCAAGCAGCCACCCCGCCCTCGGAGCCCACCCGGAATGAGCCCCAGGCCCTGCAGTGTCAAAGTGGGGCTGGCTGGAAGGGGGAGCCCTGGAGTGTTGAAGAGGGGCTGCTGGAAGGGCATGCATAGCTCCCAACCCCGCGGGCCCACTGACTCAGGGCACCAGCCTGCAGCTCTGCCGGATTTGGAACCTGCTCTTTCTTCTGGCTCTTGCAATCCATTCTTCTTCTTGAAAATACTATTCTACTATCTCAATCTCCGAAGTCCGACTTTTGAGGAACTGGGATTTACTACCAACAAAATAATGAAAACCAACATTCACTCAGAGCTAACTTCTGGCCAAGAACTATGTTTAACATTTTGGACCTACTTAATTCTCACTACAATTTCATGTTTGTTGGTACTTTTATTATCCTCATTTTTCAGATGCAAGGCCTGAGATTGAAGAGTTCACGCAACTTGTGCGGGGTGATTCTGACACATATCCTTAGTTTTCCACATCCATTACTAACTTTAAAATCTCCTTGTTAACGTCCTTTTCCTTCTCTGAAAACTAAGACCTTCTGAGAAGCCACTAGCACCCTGAGTAGATCACAGACAAGTGTATTCCAGTGTGGAAGCTGTTAGAGCCCCCAGGGGCAACTGCAACCAACGAGGCTGGAGCACAGTGCATAAATGCCTATTCCCCACGCGTAAGCTGGACAATTCTGGAAGGCAACATCCAGCCTTCCTGGTGTCCCAGAGAAAGCAAGGCACTCTTGCCACAGCAATAACCTTGATCATACACCCAAAAGAAGGCAGAAAAGGGGATGTGAGGAAACAGCACCATCAACAAACCCTCATAAAGAGCACCTATGAAACACTCTGAGATCACATTATCCTTAGTGATTAACTACTGAATGCCCTCCTTTTACATTTGGGGAGAAGGCACGCAGTCTGCCTTCACCCTTTCTAGTAAGCATTATCCTGGAAGTCCCAGGGATTGAAACAAGGCAATCACATGTAATAAAAATCATAACGATGAAGCACGAAGATATAGAGCTACTTCCATCTGTAGGTAAATGTTCATGCAGAAAATTCCAAGAAATCTACCAAACATATACTACAACTAATTTAGTAAGACTGTGGGGTAAAAAGTTTATACAATTTTATATTTATATAATAGCAGCAAACAATGGGAAGATGATTAAAACAGAAAGGTGCATTTATAATATGCCAAGACCCATAAATATTTAGGAATAAATTTATCAAAAGCTATGTAATACTTCTTCACTAAATATTATAGAACATGGATGAGAGAAATAAAAAAAAACATGAATAAATGGAGTAAGATATACCATGTTTATGGATTAGAGGACTCAGTATCATTAAGGGGCTAATTGTCTAAAAATTGATCTATAGATTCAATGCAACATGGATAAAAAGTCTGGAAGGACTTTTTATATGACTAGAGAAGCTGATTACATGTGGATATGAAAATTAGCCAGAATAGTGAAAGTAATTTTTAAAAACAAAAAACTTGACAGATTAGTACTACATGATGTCAAGACTTACCATAAAACCAAAGTAATCATGACAGTATGGTATTGGTGAAATGTTATGCATACATATCAAAGAAAGAGAAAAGACAGTTCAAAATAGATCCACGTATGTACTGGATATATTCATAGCGAGATATATATATATATATATATATATATATTCCTATATATGTGTGTGTATATATGCCAATTTATTTTGGACTGATGTTAAATGCAATTCAAAAGTTTTTAGCATATATTACTTGAAAAACTGCATACTGTATGAAAATAATAAACAATCCTATTTCATACCATACAGAAAAATCAACCCAAATCTATCACAGATATGAATGTAGAAGACAAAACTACAATATTTTTACAGCTAAATATGTGAGGAAATATTTCTAACTTTAGATTAGGCAAAAGGTTTTTAGATAGGACAGAGATTCACAAAAATAACAAATAAAAATGACATATTGGACTTTAAAATTGAAAACATTTGTTTTTCAAACAAACAAAACATCTAGTACACTGAAAAGGAGAACATGTTACATCAGAAAATACGTATTCATGACAAAAGGCTGTAGAATATATAAAGAATTTTTAGAACTAAATTTAAAAAGGCAACCTAATTTTTAAAATGGGAGAAAGCTCTGAAAGGAAATATACAAATTATTAATAAGCAGCTAAGAAGATGCTTAACACTATGATTCACCAGGGAAATACAAATTAAGATAACAAAAAATATCATTATAAAACCATTAGAATAGCTAAAATTAAAAAGCAATGCCAAGAGACATAAACGAAGGATTCAAGATGTCAGCAGAGTGGATGGATGTTACACTTACCTCTTCCCAGGACCAAATTGGAATTACAACTAATATACAGAGCAATCAACCTAAATAACCAACTGAAGACTCACTGAACAGAAGTTTCATAACCATGGATTTATAGAAGAAGCTACATCAAGACTGGTAAGAAGGAGAGACAGGAAAAGGGCCGGCCCCGCTCCCGCGGGTGGTGGCTAAGATTGTGGAAGAATATCTCAGCTGCAATTCCTGTCAAGATACCAATGGTGTATTTCAGAGAACTAGAAAAAATATTCCAAAAATTTATATGGAATGTAGTAGAGCCAGCATTTGAACCCAGGTGTCTGAGTGAGCTCATGTTTTTTGTTTAAAAAAATTTCATTTAAATGAATGAGACATAATATGCTAGAGTTTTAAATGGTTAATTGTATTTAATCTTTGGTGTGCGTCATCCCTACCTCTCAATTCCATGCATATCACTTTCTAAAGTCATGTTATTAACTCGGTATAAAGTCTTACATATTTTTCTATAATCACACATATATATGAGCATTTATATACATCTTAATAAATGAACTGTCAGTGTTTGAGAAATAGGAGCATATTATACATGCTTCTATGCATTTGTTTTTATACTTAATATTGGATGAAAATCCTGCCAAATCAAATATTATAACTCTAAGTTACTATTTTTAAGTTGTTTAAGGTGGATAAACCACAATTCATATGGCCATCTTCCTGTTTGTTAACAGGTACTCCGTTCCTAGTGTACTCTTAAATCCCCATGTTCTTACATGTAACCATATATAATACTTTTTTTCTTTCTAAAGGCCAGATTCCCAAGTGTGGAATGACTGGGTTGAATTTTAATCGACATTGCCAGATTGCTTTCCACAAACAGTATAAGAATCACATTCTCTCTAGCAATCTAGCAAGGTCTCTTTCCCTACAATCTTATCATCAATAAGTAGTACCATTATTTTTAATTATTGTAGTGTTAGGGTATAAACTCTCATTCTTTAATTTGTATTTCTCTGACTACCAGTGTATCTGAACACCTTTTCATGCTTGCTAGCGTTTTGGACTTTCTTTTCTGTGAATTCTCTATTCATATCTTTTGTCTGGGTTCCAAGTGGGTTATTCATATTTTTCTTATTGGTTTGCAAGAGGATTTTGTATACTGCTTATATTAACCATATTCTGGGATCCTATGCTTTATTTATTTTGATTGAATTATTGGGGTAACATTCGTTAATAAAGTTATACAGGTTTCAAGTGTACAATTCAATAATACATCATCTGTACACTGTATTGTTTGATCAACAGCCAAGATCAAGTTTCCTTCCATCACCATTATTCCCTTCGCCCTCTTCGACTCCACCCCCGGCCCCCTTCCTTCAGGTAATCATCATACGGTTTCTGAGTTTTGTTTTGTTTTTGTTTTTTCCTTAATCCCTATCCTCTGACAGCTGTCAGTCGATTCTCGGTTCTCTATGAATCTGTTCCTATTGCGTTTCTTAGTTTATTTTGTTCATTACATTCCGCATATCGGTGAAATCACATGGTACTTGTCTCTCGCTAGAGGAGCGACTGCTGGGCCAGCAGCCAAAAGACAACCCGGCCAAAGGTGCTCCGAACCACGGAGCGGTCGCAGCTCTGTTAGTTACTTTCGCCCCCGCGGGCGGTCTGCCCAGGGACAGCGGGGGCTCTGCGGGGAGCCAGAGAAAGGAAGGGCTCCGGCTCCCGCACGCCTGCCCGGCCGTCCTCCCCTTTGCAAACTCACCCCGAGAGCGGCAGGCAGAACCTCACCTGTTCGTCTAGAAAGCAGCGGGCTCTACCTTGCGAGTCCTGGCAAGGCAGCCCCGGGGCCGGAAGTCCCGGGATCTCTGACGTCACAGTTCCGCGACGCGCGCCCCTGAGAGCAACAGGCGACGCTAAGACGCGCGGCTTGCTGGAGCTCAGGAGGATCTTGACCCTGGCTAGGGGCCTGTGGTCCACATAAAGCGAGATCCCTGGGAGGATGTAGCGTTGTTGGAACTTTCTCTTCCCTTTCATTGGAATGTCATCCCTGTCTAATTTCAGTCGTTCGTGATATATTTTCGGCTTCCCTTCCCGTTTTCTCCTTTCTTCCTTTTTTTTTTTTTTTCTTCTGTGCATTTTTCTCTTCCTCCTTTACTGGTTGCATCTCTTCCCTTACTCACGTACACAGGAAAGTTGATTCTCAATGGACTTTATTAGCATTAACGTCGCCAGCCTATGCTATTCTACACTAGCAAAATGCTGAAGATGTATGTTTCAGAGGCATTTCGAGTTTGCTATACCCAGACTCCACGGAGACAAAGGTCATAGTCCTCTTGTGAACCGTCGCATCCTGAGTATCTGGCACATAGCAAGTGGTCAATATATATCTGTACAAAAATACAATAGTGAGTATGACGTAGTTTTATAGGTGGGGGGAAAGTAGGTAAGTAGACCAGCAAGTCATCGGTAAATCTCACCTGCTCGTCGAAAGGAAACCTTGTTTCTTTTGTGTTCAACATCTCAGTGACATGAACCACCATCCAACAGTTTTTGGAAGTAGACTGGTCCTCTTTTTCATAAACTCTCCCCCTTTTCAGTTTTACTCTCTAAATATAAGAGATAGTACAATGAGTTTAGAAAAAGCTACTCACTGTCTTAAGAGCTTTTCATGAATTAACTCAATTTTAGTCCTCACAGCTGCCCATTGATGTCAAAATTATGTGACCGTAGAGTCTGAAAACGTAGACAAAGGCACAAAATAAATGAGTGATTACATTGCATGATGCGTTCAAGGTGCTGTGCCTCATTACTAATGCACAGTTCAGTGTGTGCAGAAATTCTGGTCAGTGTTCTCAAATGCTGCATTTCCTTCAATCCCTGCATACACATTTGTGATGCATTCTCTCAAGTGATTTATGTCTCTGATTTCATTACGTAAGCCAGTGCCAGAAAAAGTAACCAGGGGGTTCAATCTTAGGGAGTTCAGCCTAGCTGGGAGAATGTAGCTTAGAGTCTTTCACTGTTGCAGCACAGCTGGTGGGTCGGGGCTGCGGACATCTCAAAGTTCCACTGAGGCTGGAGAATCCATTACTAGGCTCAGTCACGGAATTGTTGTCCAACACTGTTTCTCACTGGCTGTTGGTCAGAACTGACCTATTTCTGGGGCATCCAGGGACTCATTATAAAAGCATTCAGGGGATGGCTCCACATTTCATTGATTTAACAATGTCCATAGAAAGATGCAATGTGGGTTTTCTGACTTCATGACCGGGTGGCAAGAAATAGTGTATGGAAAGAAAGCTTCAAAATATAAGTTGAGGGTTATGTAGAATAGGCTAATTATGGAACTCTAAGGAATGTAGATGACCAGAAGGGAAGAGAGTTTTGTCAAATAATAATCAACAGGTAATATTTATCGAGCATTTACTATGTGCCAAGTTTTGTGCTAAATGTTTGACGTAGGCCTAGAAGGGGAAGAGAAGCTATTCAGGGTGATAGTCTCATGAATAGTCCCCGTTTTTGCTCAGTTCGCATGGACTCATGTCTGAGTCCTGAGGAAGCAGAAAGAGGTTACTTTCCCACAAATTTACGAGAGATTTTGGGATGCCAAGGCAGTGCTCCTTAGGAGCCACTGTGACAGAGTATAGTACCAAGGAAATCTGCCTCTTTTTGATCAGAGAAGCCTCGAGCAGAGTGCCATGGATGTGAGGTGATTTCAGGGGACTGTCAACTACGTGTAACATGTATAAGGAGGAATTTGCAGCAGGACTAGTGTCAGAGCCTTGTACCATTTCATGGGCAACACCACTGAAGAGGAAGAGAAGGAAAATGCTTGCATTCCTGATATGGCCCAGATAACTCTGCAGGATCTCTTGAAGACAATCCTTAGAAACTGCCATGGTTGTTGGGGACCTTTTAATGGAGGTAAGAGAGTCATTGAAGCCACTTTGCAGAAGAGATGGAAGGCCTACAGTAGCAATTAGAGTGAGACAGAGAAATGGGTAAAGCTTAGATTTTTATGATAGGAAAGAATGTTTCTGGTGGATGTTATGAGAATGTTAGAAGGACTTGCACATATTAATAAAATATGCTCCCATCCTTCTTACCATTATATTACACAGAAAGTTCAATTATTGTTTTAGACATCCTTTGAACTAATATGTAAATTGAAGATTACGTAAAAATGAACAAGAGGAAAAAAAGAAAAAATAACAATAATAAAAAAATATTTTTAAGACTTTCAAGGTCATTCGCCATATATGATATAACTGCATTTCCAAATGTTTTGTTTTAATCTATTAATATAATCCATTAGTCCCCTTCAATGAAGCCATATGATAAAAGAAGCTTTTAGTGGCAGAGTAGGGTACAGATAAGAAAAATATGGGAGATGTTCAATTGTCTCTATAAATTAAAAACAGTAGAGATTGGGACTATTAAGATGAATATTCCTTTAGAGAGCAGTGTGTTCCTATTTTGTTGGATTCCTCAGAAACTAAATGCTCTGTTCAACAAAGTTTTTGTGAGCTATTTATACTGCTACAGGATTTTTACAAATCATTCCTTCTTCTTCTTTTTTTTTTGGTGGAGTCTTTATATTCCCCAGTGAAATAAGAATGGAATTTTTCATAAGTCAAAATGCCTTTTCATATCCTGTACCTATCTGATTCTTACAGACTAAATAATGGCTCTCCATGTCTGAATCCCTGAAACCTGTGAATATGCTACATTACATGACAAAAAGGATGTTGCAGATGTGATTAAGATGTGGTAAGGATCTTGAGATGAGAAGATTACTATGGACTATTCAGGTGGGCCCAGTGTAATCACGGGGGTCCACATAAGAGGAAAGCAGGAGGCCAGAGTAAGAGACCATAATGTGACAATGGAAGCAGAGGGAGAGAAAAAAATATGATGGTGGAAGCAAGAGTCATAGTCAGAGAGAGAGAAAGGTGATGTGCTGCTAGTTTGAAGGGGGAGGAAGGGGCCACAAACCAAGGAATGCAGGCGGGCAGCCAGCCAGCCAGCCAATTGCTGGAAAAAGGAAGGCAATGGATTCTTCCCTACATCTTCCAGAAGGAACACAGGCCTGCCACCATAACATTAGCTCAATGAAGTTGATTTTGAAGTTCTGACCTCCAGAAATTTAAGATAATAGATTTGTGTTGTTTTTAAGTCACCATATTTTTGGTGATTTATTGTAGCAGTAGTAGGTAACAAATATACCAACTAAATAAAAGCTTTGACCATTTCTGTTTTGCAAACAAGTGAGGAATATTAGTTAGAAGTTTAACCTCTTTTTATTTTCTATGCTTTGGGACAATATAAGTAGTATTGGAACTATCAATAATTTATATTTTCCTAAAAATCATTCTCTTAGTTCAAGTTCTCAAATTTATTTGCTTTGAGTTGAATAAGGTAGTTGCTGATGAATCTTTCAGTTTCCTCTGTATTTGTGGTTATTCCATTCTTTCCAACTTTGTATTTTTGTGGGGTCTTGCACTTTCCCTACTTGATCAGATGACCCAAAGGTTTGTGTTTATATATCTTAAAGCTTTTGCAAAAGGCAGTCTTTGGATTTACATAATAGTTTTACATGTTTTTCTTTTTAAATTCATTATTGAATGCTTTTTAATTTGTGACTCTTCCCTTCTACTTTTCTTGATATTTTTTCCCAACTTGAGTCTTATTTGTAAATAGAAATTATCCAGCTGTGAATTTTTCTCTTTTTCTTTGCTTGCATCCCATATTTCTGATGTAATGATGAGTAAAGTTATTTGATAAGAAGCAAGCAGTTTGCCCAGTTGAGAGCTCTGTTGCCCTGTGAAGAAGATAGTTGAATGACCTATTGTTTGGATACATATGTTTTCAGGAAATTTCTCAAGTGATAAAATTATTTCTAATAAACATCTTCCCTTCTCATTGAGGGGTTTTGTGCCCTATTGATATCAAGTTTGACCATGTGTTTTGTTTTTGATGATGAAATGTTAACAGTTGGTCCATGGTGGGTTTCCACCATTGTGGACTTCCATCCTTCCTCTTTTTTCTCTACCCTAAGACCAGTATGTCCCAGATTGGGATTGTTCCTTTGTTCAGGGTCCCAGAATGAAGCAGATGTAGAGTAGAAGTGGAACCAACCAGTGAAGGACATGCAGTGGGAGCAAGAAATAAATCTTTGTTGTTGTATAAACTGCTGAGATTTTGGGGTTGTTATTGTAGCATAAGCTAGCAAAATTGATACTGCATGTATTGAATGAATAAATATTTTCTATATTCTTTTATATAATATATAACATATCATGTATACCTAAATATGATACTGTAACATCTTTTGAACAAATAATGTATAAGTACATTTTATAGGACTTGTGATATAATTTTGCTAATTAAATTATGATAATTTGTACCTGTACTTGTTTGCTTTGTTTGTGTTTGCTTTGCTTTATGACACATTTATGGTCATAGTGAAGATTTGTTTGATGCCAACTGTTCAGTGAAAAACATTCTTCAGTTACAACTTTGCTTTTGTTCTTTTGTTTTTGTTTTTGTTTTTTGAGAAAACCCCATTGTTCTATACCCTTTAGCTTGGTAAGTGGTTCCAGAAATTTACTTAGATGTTTGCAGTTCTTTAATCCTGGGACTTTGTTACTCCTTAAAGCCAGTAGAAATGACCTGTAATCATAGTGACATAATATATCTTTACAAGTGTTTTCTCTTACAGAAGAAAACTGTAATATCCTGAAACCATCAGACATACAAACAATTTGAGATATGAAGATAGTTTTAAAAATTATTTTAAACAGAGAAAAGAAAATATTATATTTTTTTCTTTAAAGCATATTCAAGAAGTCAGCCGGTATT